ATTCAAAGATTTTGTTTCAAGGGAAACTGTCTCAAGAGAGATGGACCCTTGTTTCGAGAGAAACAATCTCAAAGGCGATCGATAATTTGCTTGTTCCTGAAGATGGATATTGCTGGTGAGCACGATTCCCTTTGTCGTGAAATTGAAACCGTGGATGGCCCCTAAGTCGTGAAGTTGAGTCTTGAGTTGGATATCATTCGTCGTGAAGTTGAAATCCAAGTAAGTAGCATTGTTCCGAGTCCAATATCCTCCGTCGTGAAGTTGAAATTGGCTCTGGAACCGGGAAATTATTTGTTGACAACCAGCCGTCCCTTCGTTGTGAAGTTGAACTTGTGTTGTCTCGAGTCCAATTTCCTTCGCTGTGAAGTTGAAATTGGCTCCGAAATTGGGAAATTGTTTGTTGACAACTAGCTGTCCCTTCGTTGTGAAGTTGAAATTGGCTCTGAAATTGAGAAGTTGGTTATTGACAACCAGCGGTCCCTTCGTCGTGAAGTTGAACTTGCGTTGTCTAGAGTCCAATATCCTTCGTTGTGAAGTTGAAATTGGCTCTGAAATTGAGAAGTTGGTTATTGACAACCATCGGTCCCTTCGTCGTGAAGTTGAACTTGCGTTGTCTGGAGTCCAATATCCTTCGTTGTGAAGTTGAAATTGGCTCTGAAATTGAGAAGTTGTTTATTGACAACCAGCGGTCCCTTCGTCGTGAAGTTGAACTTACGTTGTCTGGAGTCCAATATCCTTCGTTGTGAAGTTGAAATTGGCTCTGAAATTGAGAAGTTGGTTATTGACAACCAGCGGTCCCTTCGTCGTGAAGTTGAACTTGCGTTGTCTGGAGTCCAATATCTTTCGTTGTGAAGTTGAAATTGGCTCTGAAATTGAGAAGTTGGTTATTGACAACCAGCGGTCCCTTCGTCGTGAAGTTGAACTTGCGTTGTCTGGAGTCCAATATCCTTCGTTGTGAAGTTGAAATTGGCTCTAAAGGCTGTAACAAATCATGTATGCTGAAAATGATGGATGTGATGCACCTAGGTATGTCTAAGATGCATGCAATCATGAATGAATTATGATTTATTTCTTGGATTGAAGTCCCACGTCTTGCCTGCCAATCTGGTTCATGGAATTGATCGTGCCCCATTATCTTCTCGAGCTTTGGCTTTACAGACCTTTCAAATCTGAGACTACTCTGTTTGAAAAATATTTTTCTCTTTTTTCTTGTTTTAGGAGAAAAAATGTTGTAAAATATTGTTGGCAATTGACTCAAATTGTAAACGTGAGTTCAAAGAATATCAAAGGAATCAAGAGCTTTTTTAATGCTTTTAGAGTCACAGCTCTTTGAAAAATGTTCAAATGGATGAGTTGGCCTTAGGTTGGCCTCCTTTCTAAGGTTTTGGTAACCCAAAATGTCATTTTTTTTAATATCGAAATATGCTTTGGCATTTCATTTGGGTGCTGACAAAATGCCGCAACTAGCATGATCACTTACTAGACCTTTTATTTCAGTCCTTTGAAATCTTCCATTTGTTCAAGCTTTGTAGGCTCCTCCAACAAAGGCAGTGCGAAAAATATCGGTCTAAAAATGAAATTCTTGAGTGCTCGTGTGTAGTCGACTATAACAGGTGTTCCTTAACTCCCTTAGTCCAACATTACCGAAAATTTCTTGCTCAGATAAATTTGATTTAATTTTCCATTGTCTGGCTAGCTGAATCCATAAAGTCAGGGAGTTTAACCAATTACTTTAGAGGGACAGCTTAACATTATAATCACTTTTATCAGGTTTAACTGAAGGGTTCATCTCATCACAAAGTCTTCGGCCTGACAAAAGCAGTGGAGCAAACACCGAATTGCCAAGTGTCCGAGCAATGTCATGGTTTGAATACAATCTATTCATAAAGCCAGGGCTTTCGAGTTTCCTCTGTAACCGATTGCCTTAGTGGAATAGCTCAGTTTTACGGATTTAATTTCTTAAGATTGTCAAGAAGAACCTGTTATAGTCTAGGTGTTTGTTGAAAGTAAAAAATTTCATATTTAGAGTTCAATTTTCAAGCAACTGACCTAAACTAGATTCACTTACTCGACTATTCCATCTGTGAAGATCATTATCATCACTGAACGTCTTAAATAAAAAGTATAATAATGTCATATGCAAAAGGATGCCCCATGTTGTCCGCACCTTATGAAAGGAAAATGTTATATTGGTTAATTACAAGAGCAGGGTACGGTGTTTGAGTGTATATTCTGGGTAAAGTCAAATTCCTTGTTTTAAATCATGTTACTTCGTCAAAGATATGTAACTTTGAACCATTTCAGAGTTTCTTAGTTCATATGATATTCAAAGAATTGCAAGTTTGCAAATGTGATTCATTGTTTAACATCTTTAAAGTAACATAAATTTATTTAAAAGTCCTTACAAAAACTTGAGGAAAAAAATGAAAAAACAAATTCAAACAAAATGTCTCAAATTATGAAATGGTCTTCCTCACTTGGATGCCCCCAAGTTGTTGAAGTTGATCCTATTCTTGTTACGTATTTTCTGTATGATTCTCTTGATTGTGGAGTAATTCTCGATAGTGCGCCCTAGGACTCCGCTATGATTTTCGCAATGAGCGTTCTCATCATACTACCTGGGGTACGGGTCTTCATGGATTTCTCTGGATATGGTGATACCACGTGTGCGTCAAACAACTGTTGGTAAAACTCCTTATATGTCATAGGATCGAAATGTTCTCATTTTTGATGAGACATATGAATGTAATAAAAAAGGGAAAAATAATGCGAATGTAAAGAAAAATAACAAAATGCACAATATGTCTGAATGCATGATGCATGAAATGTTCGAGGTATTGATAAGAAAAAATGTGTCTGTCATTATAAATAACCCTTATTGGGGACAAAAGTGTTTTATCTTTTACGAGACAAAAATATCCTGACAGCTTCTGAATAACTTGTCGAACCGCTCCGGCTTCTCTGGATGAACCGTGCAAATGTTGAGTTGCTTTTGGTACTGGCCCAAGAAGTCTCGAATGACTGCATCTCTGGCATTTATCTTTTGTTGAACTTGTTCCCAACGAATACGTCATTGGAGCCCTCAATTGATAGGAACTATGTGAAGTCATTTGTTTGAATTCGTCAGCAATGGTCTCCAATTCCAGCTATCGTCTTGCCATTGTTGTCTTTGAAGGGACTTTCAAGATCGGTAACCTTCATCTTGCCCCAGCAACCTCTGTCAGCCAGTTCTTCAAATATAGACTTTCATTGTGCTTGATGTAGACCCGTTGTATTCTGAGTCCTTTATAATGCAGCAGAGTGATGTACTCTTCAATTATGGGCACCACGTCTTCTGGATTGAATGTGACACATAGTCGCCTTGTAGGCTGTCCTCTGTATTTTCACTTCTTGTATTACAACCCCTTTGTCCATTAATGCAGATTATTCAAGTTTAACAAACACGTTTTTGGTGGACCAACACCTCTTTTGAATGATGAAAATGATAAAAAATGTAAAAGAACAAAAATAAAAAGAGAGAAAAAGAAAGTTAGTGAGATAAGGATAATAATAAAAAAATGAAAATGAAAAGTCCTACCCCACATGATATCTACCCCACATACTTATTATTCCTACCCGGACATGATCTCTATCCCGCATGCTAATTTCAAACAAATTCTAACCGCATGTTTCTCTAGTTCGCATGCTTTGAACAGAAAATAAGGCAGAAAATAAAACAGTCTAGAGTTTGGAATGAGGTTTTGGGGTGGGCTCTAATTCCTTGTATTCTCCCGGTTTAGGTTCTAAAAAGGTACTCGAGTTCTCCTTTCTGGTGCCCCCTTGGGCTTACCAGACCCTTAGTCCTAAGCCCATTACAAGCTTATGTGGACTAAGTTAAACTCGAGAGGAAACATTCCCTTATACCCGCACGGTGAATAAATTCACACGAAGACATAAGGTATATGAATCCCGAAGGCTACTTGCTAGGCATATGCGGTGAATAAATTCACACGAATGCGTCGCTTTCACCCCCACTTAAAACGGGTTCGGAGCTCGGGTTTAGAGCTTAGAGATGACAATTTTGAAAAAATCTGAAATCATTAAAAAACGTCAGTACAACTATTTATTTGAAAAATAATCAAAGATAAATAATTAGAATCGAAAAAATAAATTAAAATTTAAATTTATAACTTTCGCTAAAAAAAGACAACCGAAAATTAATTTTGGCCTGACTCACTTATCTGTCCCCAGTGGAGTCGTCAAGCTGTCGCAGCCGTCTTTCGGTTGGGCCCCGAAATTGGGATTGGACTTGAAAAATGTGGATTGGAGTCACCACCGATCATTTATTTAAAAATAAATAGGTAGATCGGATACCTAATTTCTTACCTGATCTGCATCGTGCCAGAGATGTGTCGGGTTCGGAAGTCGGTTACGGTCAATGAAGGATTAGCACCCTTGAGCCGCCATTTCGGTACCAATTAATTTATCGGTTGTCTTTAATTGCGAAAATTAAAATTTAAAAAATTCAATTCGAATTAATTACCTTTGATTATTGAAAATATCCCTAAAAAATCAAAAATGTTAAATAAAGAATAATAAATAAATATTAAATAAATGAAAAGAAGGAAAAGAAAAAAAATACTAAAATAAGAAAATAAAGAAAATAAAAACATTAAATAAATTAAAAGGGAAAAAAATAAAATGAAATAAAAAGTAATAAACTAAATGAAATAAATATAAAAAAGGAACCTATAGATGAAGGACCATATGTTGAATTTACCAACAGTTCAAAACCATGTGGGTTTCTTTGACTTTCACGCTCATAGGCCAACGAATTTGCTTTTCCATCCATTTTGCACGTGTTTCTCAAATAACCTGGCCTTTTTATTCTTTCTTTACACGCCGCTGTGCTCTTCTTCTCGTCTTTCGAGTAATCTCCTTTTAGTTTTGGTTTTGTATGGTTTTCTACTTGCTGAAGATCTTGAATAGTTCATCAATCTCGGAATCCCCAGGAAATAATGGTCGCTGGTTCACCATTTCAGCAAAAATACACCCACATACCACACACTAACAGGAGTCGAGTAATGGCGAGATCCAAGCAGTATTTCGGGTGCTCTGTACTACAAGGTAACAACCTCATGCGTAAATGTTCTAACAGAAATACCACATGCTCGGGCCAGACCAAAATCAGCAAGCTTCAGTGCATCGGTGCGACGATCAATCAACAAATCTTGTGGTTTTAGATCTCGGTGAAAAACCCTATAAAAATGACAATAAGAAATTCCATGGAGAATTTGATAAAGGAAGGATTTAATCATGCGTGGATCTTCCCCAAATTCTGGACATGAATCCATGTGCTTCTTTAAATCCAAGTCTAGATATTCAAAGACCAAATATAACCGCTTCTCACTGTGCACTACATCCTGCACCTGCAGCCTAACGATATTTCCATGTTGCATTTCCTTCAAGAGAGAGATTTCTCTACTTGCAATGTTAGGTACACCTTCGTCTTCCTGCTCTAAGCGAATCTTCTTCAAAGCAATTGTTTTATTGGTAACACGGTCACAAGCCTTATAGACAACGCCATAGGTTCCTTCGCCAATCTTCTCTACTTTCGCATACTGGTCCATGTGCAGCCTCACCAGAATTGAATAATAAAATAAGTTGAAATGATAGATGGATTTGCCTTTGAGCAAGTGATTGAGCGGAGGAGCAGGAATATTTCGATCATACGTACAATGTTGTTGAGGCAACTGGTGGGTAACATGGGTCGGTTATTGCTGGGATCGTATGGGTTTGAGTTGGTAGATAGGAACCCCCCCCCCCCGTCTGTTATTTTTTTGCCCTTTATTTATATCCCCGGATCGCTTTTTAATCTTCTCCAATACCCTCAACTTTATCGTGAAATAAGGTGATCTTGAGAGTGTTGGAAGCAACGAGTTTAGCGGCAACACTTCCCCAACTTCCCAGCGAATGGCGTGAGTTGAGGAGATACTGGTGTACAACCCGTTTCCCATAAAGGAAAACGGTTGAGATACGTAGGTTCAACATGGGCCTACAAAAATAAAAAATAAAAATAAAATTATTAATAAATAATAATAATAATAATAATAAAATATAATATAATTTTTCTGTAGTCCCGGACAAAAATGGGTGTCTACACATCCACTTTGAGAAATTAATACATTTTTGTGAGAATTAATAATATCTAAGGTCTAATTTGGTTTTAGTCATCCAACATTTCTTAAAATTTTAGAATTGAACTATTCAAAAAAATTCAGAATTAAATGCATACTTTAATTTGACGTAATCTAATCATTTTACTCTTATAATGATTAGATTAAATAATAATTTTAACAACAATAATAATAACATAAAGAAAAAAATATTTCCTAAACTCTCTTTATCACATCCCCATGATCTCTATTACAAAATTACTCACTTCGTTACTTTTCTTCGACTCAAAATTAACTTCCAGATAACCACTTCATGTTTACATGGAACAAAATAATAAAGATTTACCCTTAAAGAAAAATGACATGAAAAAGAATATGTGACTGGTTTTTACCGATCACGAGTCAAGAAAAAAATGCTTTGATGAAGGTTTGAAAAAAATGTTTTTATAGGATAGGGTGTTCAAACAGGTAATTCGATTAACCGACCGAATTGAATTACCCAAATTTCTTTAATCGAATTTTTCTCTCCATTAACTATTAACTGAATTGAATTTTTCTAAAAAAATTTAACTGAACCGAACTAAGTTCGGTTAATTGATCGGTTAACCGAAATTTATAAATATTATATATTATATATTAAATATTTTTTGGTTTATTCGGTAAAAACTGAATTCAAACACCCCTAAAGCTAAATAATATATATTATTAAATATTTAATAATTTTGATTAATTCGATTAATTAACTATTTTTAATACTTCATATAAAAATATTCAGAAAATAATATAAGATTTAAAGTAAAAGAATGGGTAGAACCAAAATGAAAATTTAATATAAAATTTAACTTCATCGGCAATGTAAATGCTATTTAATATAATAGTTATTAAATTTTTAACTATTTTGAATAGATTACGCGACATTGATAAATTAAAAGTATTTTTACTATGATCCTAGATAAAAGAAGTATTGTATTCAAGTGTAAACGACAGAGATATGATGACGTGGCGTGAAGGGCGCGCTCGTGCGGTGGACCCCAGTTTGGAATTATTTTTAATTTTTTTAAGGTGAAAGATCAAAGTCTGTGTTTGACTTTTGTAATTTCTACAATTTTGTACGGCTGATATTAATTTCATTTTATATGATGTACGATCCAGATTTAAACCGTTTTTACCGCTATCGTTAGCATATTCGAAGGACGATATAATAAGACAATCTCCTCTCACCTCATTTTACGCAAAATATCGATCTTTTGACTTATAGTGATATTTTCTAACTTTCAACCATGATTCCATTTCCAACCTATATAGATTTTGGGAAGTTAATATACGGTTAAAAAAATGTGTTACCGATGTTATTATTATTTAAATAATAAAATCGATAAAAAATAATTAAAAAGTATTATTATTTCTACCAGTTTTAATTATCGATATATGTAAATACGATAAAAAATTCAATAAAAAATAATATTTTAGGTAACGCTTTACCGAAAATATTATTTTTTACCGAGTTTTTTTACAGTTTTTATCTATATATGTAATTAATAATAACTACAAAACCAGTCGAAATAATAATGCTTTCATGTCATTTTTTACCGGTTTTATTGTTTAAAATAATAACAAAACCGATAACACATTTTTTAACCGTATATTAAAACTATCGCACGTGAGCATTTCCCTAGTTTTTGAGGCCAAATTGCGGATATATTGTTGTGGGAAAAAATTCCTGAAATAAGGCACATCATGGATTATTTCTCTATCTAGGATGAAATACAGTCTTTAAGTTTGGTGTGACGTCAAATAGTAATGGAATCTTTATGTTATTACTGTAGATTTCATCCTAGATAGAGAAATAATTTCAAATGTTGCCTATATTGGGAATTTTTTTCTACAATAATATCTCATCAATTTTCCCAATCAAACTTTATTTTTATATTATGTTATATTATATTTTCAGACTTAACTATAGTTTTAGTCTCTCTACTTTACCAAAACTTCATATTTATTCATATTTACTTTTTATATAATTATCGATATTAGTTCTACTGATCGATCAATCCAGATTAAGTACTGTAGAGGAACGAGTCTCCCAGTCTAGTTTACTCCATTCTAAAACACTAAAAAGTTCAAATTTATAACACCATTAATTGTTATTCATTGGACCGATAACGATTAAGGTCATGTAAAAATTTGAGTTAGCCATGCTTGATACCAAATGTTTAAAATTGTTTTTTTTCTAAAAATACGTCTTCTCTTTAATAGAAACAACTAAGAATGTTATTAATTTAGATCTACTAATAATATTATAAAGTACAAAGATTAAATCTTTAATTCTAACAAAATTGAGGGATTAAAACATCATTACTAGGGCTATAAAAGAGTCGGGTCGAGCTCGAGTATTGCTGAGCTCGACTCAACTCGAAAACTTGCGAGCCTAAAATTTTTAAGTTCGACTCGAACTCGAAATCATGAATTGAATCTCGTACAAGCTTGAAAAGACTCGAAATGAAAAAAATTAAACTTAACTCAATTGAAACCTCAAACTCAAACTCGAATATGAACCTTAAATACATGTATACTTTATACATATTTTTTAAAAAAAATCATCACATAAATGTTAATATTATTAATAATTTATTTATTTTTTAAATAAAATCTTAATATATTATACTTTTGAATTGTTCACTAACTTTTCGAGTCAAATATCAAGTACCTCGTTTCGACTCGTTAAGAACTCAAATCGAGTTCAAACTTAAGTCAACTCTATTAAAATTAAAATATATAGTTTTTCACCTATAAGTTTAAACTTACACGTGGAAAAATATGTCGTTATCATGTCTTTAAGGTTTAGGGTTAAAAGTATTGATGAAGCAAAAAAAAAAACAGAAGTCAATGGGGGACGCCTATAGGTAAAGATCTTGGTAAGCCACCAAAATCCCAAAAATTATCTTTCTCGAGCCTTTCACTACATTTATTCCAACCAAACATCATCAATTATGATTGCAGGTTTTGATTTTACTCCCTCTATATTTCACTTTTATGTTAATAGGTTCCTTAGTTTTATCTTTCCTCTTTATAAAAATCATTATTTAAAATTGATATTTAAAAATATATGTATTTAATTCATAGAATGTAGCATTTTCTTCGTTAATAGGATTATCGTAATATAATATTATCGGACATATTATTAGGAATGTTGCATTGTTGTGTTTGGTTTGTTTAGCATAAATGTATGATTACAATGTTTAGTTAAAGAAATAAAAGATTATTAAAATGTATATTTTATCAAATTATCCTTGTTATATATTTATTTTTAAACAAGTTAAATTCTAAATATTTAAATGAAAATATTTGTATAAAAGATCATAAAAATATATAATTTTATAATTTTAATTTATATATTTTCTTTTTATAATTTAAATTCATAAAATGTATATAATTTTTTTTACAAAATTTAAAAGATAAACGGGTTTAATGAGAGGGTTTAATTTTATTTCAACCCTTGAATTTTATATAAAAATTTAATTGTGGATTTTTTTGTAAATCTAAAATAGTTTAAGAATAATTTTTTTTATCCCATAATTTTTTTATTCAACAATTAGTTGGTGGATATTTTTGAAAAAAATTTTGTTTTAAGGACATTTTAGTCCAAAGCTAGAAAAAAATTAATACCTAATGTACGAGAAGAATTTCATTATCGATAATAAGCCCCGAAAATATCAATATTGAGAATAACTTATTACTCCCATTTATAATCCTTGCAATCTACATTTCGGAATGATTTAAGAAAAGATTTCACTTAACTCTGCTAATGGAGTAAGTGGATTGCGTCAAGGTTAATTTTTTTTTTCTAATTTATACATAGACTTGTAGTCAATTTAAAGATGACTTATAATCTGTTATTTTCTAATAAAAAAGATGAGAAGAAAACCGTGGGGGAGAAAAAGAATATGTTTTTTATTTTCAAGGTATAAATACTTCGGTTATAGTAGGGACAGAGTCACTAAGGGTGTGTTTGGTTCACATAATGTAAGATTACCAGTGGGAATGTAAGATTACCAGGGAATAGGATTACTGAGAATGTTGTATTTTGTGTTTGGTTGGTGTTAGGAAAATAAACCGAGTACAAGTAATTTCCCTATAACCATATTAGTGAGAATGCGAAATAAAAGCGGAAAAATAATACCCGAAAATTGATAACGGAGTTCAGCCAATTGTGCTTACGTCTCCGGGCTGTTGCAGATCTTTTACTAAGAGAGAAAATTTACAGGTGTTTACAAAACACTCACTACTCACAAGAAAGCTCTCTAGTATAGGAAGAAAGAAATGTTTTGGGATGATTTTGAAGCTAAATGGGTAAGGGTATTTATAGTAGAAACTTAGGGACTAATCTTTGAAAATACCCTAAAGTGCAATGACTAAAGTGAATTTACCCATTCCTATTTTCAACAAACATCTACCAAAATTTTACCAAACTTTGAAAAACATTTTTCAAAGAAACATTTACCAAACTTTGAAAAAAACATTTTCCAAAGTTGGTT